ACAGGGACAGAGCGACATGAGGGGCATGGGGACAGGGACAGAGGGACAGGGGACAGAGGGACATGGGGACAGGGACAGAGGGACAGGGGACAGTGGGACATGGGGACAGGGACAGAGTGACAGGGACAGAGGGACATGGGGACAGGGACAGAGTGACAGGGGACAGAGGGACATGGGGACAGGGACAGAGGGACAGGGACACAGGGGAGAGAGTGACACAGGGGCAGGGACACAGGGACAGGGACCTGGGGACACACAGGGGACAGTGACACAGGGACACAAGGACTGACACAGGGACAGGGACAATGACAGTGACAATGACAATGACATAGTGGCAGTGACGGTGGCAGTGACAATCACAGTGACACAGTGACAGTGACAGTCACACAGTGACAGTGACAATGACACAGTGACACAGTGACAGTGACAGTCACACAGTGACAGTGACAATGACACAGTGACATGGTGACAGTGACAGTCACACAGTGACAGTGACAATGACAGGGTGACAGTGACAGAGTGACAGTGACAGTAACATGGTGACAATGACAGTGACAATAACACAGTGACAATGACAGTGACAGTCACACAGTGACAGTCACACAGTGACAGTGACACAGTGACAATGACAGAGTAACAGTGACAGTGACAATGAGAGTGGCAGTGACACAGTGACAATGACACGGTGACAATGACATGGTGACAGTCACACAGTGACAATGACAGTGACAGTGACAATCACACGGTGACAGTGGCAGTGGCAGTGACAGTCACACAGTGACAATGACAGTGACACAGTGACAATAACACAGTGACAGTCACACGGTGACAGTGACAGTGGCAGTGACAATGACAGGGTGACAGTGACAATGACAATGACAGCAGCAGTGACCTTGTGGCGCACGAAGGTGTCGAACTCCATCAGGCTGAAGCCCAGGGAGCCGTCCCCGAACAGCACCCACACCTGGCAGTGCCACCCAGCGTCACCAGAGTGTCACCCAGCGTCACCGAGTGCCACCCGGTGTCACCCAGTGTCACTGAGTGCCACCCGGTGTCACCAGAGTGTCACCCGGCGTCACCGAGTGCCACCGAGTGCCACCCAGTGTCACCAGAGTGTCACCCAGTGTCACCGAGTGCCACCCGCAGGTGGCCCTGGGGACTGTCCCCAAGTGTCACCCATGGACACAGTGGGTGGCCCTGGGGACCCTCTGGTCCCCCTGATGTCCCCATCCCCAGTGTCCCCCAATGTCCCCCCCTGTCCCCTCACCGGTTCCTGCTCTCGGTGCCGCTCTCGGCCTCCTGTCCCTGTCCCTGTCCCCGTGTCCCCTGTCCCCTGTCCCTGTCCCCTCACCGGTTCCTGCTCTCGGTGCCGCTCTCGGCCTCCCGCAGCCGCTGCAGCCACTCCCGGGGGCACGAGAACCCCGGCAGGCTCCGGGCCAGCGCCACCACCAGCGCCGCGGGGTCACCTGCGGGGACACCAGAGTGACACCGGGGACACCAGAGTGACACCGGGGACACCAGAGTGACACTGGGGACACCAGGGCCACCACCAGCGCCGCGGGGTCACCTGTGGGGACACCAGAGTGACACTGGGGACACCAGGGCCACCACCAGTGCCGCAGGGTCACCTGCGGGGACACCAGAGTGACACCGGGGACACCAAAGTGCCACCAGGGACCCAGAGTGACACCAGGGGCCCTGAACTGGCTCAGTTCCACCCCAAACCGGCTGAGTTTGACACCAAACCAGATTAACTCAGCCCCAACCCGGTTCAGTTCCACCCCACAGCGGCTGTTTGACCCCAAACCGCCTCATTCTGACCCCAAACCGGTTCATTCTGACCCCAAACCGGCTCATTTGTGTCCCCAAAGAGCCTCACCCTGCACGGCCAGCCGGGGTTTCCAGAAGACGTCGGAATTCCGCAGCAGCTGCTCCTTGTCATGGTTTGACCAAAACCGCCTCATTCTGACCCCAAAAC